CTCCCAGGAGCCAGGGCATGTAGCAACCTAGACACAAGCTGGCCCTTTGAAGAACCCAGAGTTAGTGGGCTGTAGTATAGAATGGTGGTATAGAATGCCCACCATATGGGAGGCTTAGGGTTCAAGTGAGGAAGTTCAGGCTTATTAGTAGTCCCAGTCTTTAACTAGACCTATGGTTTTGACTGTTCACAATGCTAATTTGGGTGTCTGACCCCAGGGAACCTGGTTCTCCTACATGTTGCTCATCTTTTATGTAGCTTTCAGCATAATGCCTTCTATTTTCTCCTTTCGTGTTCTCCCTTTCTGATAAACTCAGCAACATGCAAAAATTATGTGTAACTGTAACGGATCCAGAATCTCACTGTCCTTTGGTAAGAGAGCTCTTGATTTTATCTCTGCTGTCATGTCTGTGTCTATGAATATGATTCTGGTATTTCCTCTTGTTTCCCGAAGTGCTAGGCACTTACAACACTAGTCTATGTGGATTCTGTCTTCAGACATTCTAGTTGGGAAGACGACAGTGATGTCAACAGCAGGGACAGTTTTCTGAGTGGTAAGCACAGAGGGCCCCCAGAGCCCAAGGAGCAGCATGTAGATCAGACAGGGATCAGAGAGAACTTCCTAGAAGAGGTAAGCAGGACATTGGGACGATTCTAACTCACAAAGCAGGGACAGCATGGGCCGTAGAGGAACCAGAAACCAAGCTCCTGATGGTAGATATAGGGACTTCACTGGGGCTGAGTAATCTGGGCAGGCAGCATGGAAAAGGCAAGCAAGTGTGAGTTAGTCAAGACTATAAAGATGAAAAGGCAAAGATGGGCATTCCAGAAGAAGCAAGGTTGTGGTTGTGTGGCATGGCAGTAGAGCATGGTAAAACCACAAGAAGTGTATGAATTAAGGTTGTAGACTTGGTGGCAAGTGCCTTTGCCCACTGAACCATCTTACAACAATCATGCCTGATTTGCATGGATTATTAAAAATAGCTTTATCCTATTTTCAGATGTAACTTGGGGGCTGGAGAGATGATTCAGTCACTAAAGTACCCACTGGACAAGCATAAGGGCCTGAGTTTAGATCCCCAGCATCCACTTAAAAGCCAGGCAGTGTAGCATACCTCTGACTTCACTGCTGGGGGATTGGGCGGAAATACGAGAATCCCTGGAGCTCACTGGCTAGCCAGCCTAGCTGGACCGATGAGTGCCTGCTTCAATTAGAGACCACCTTCACAAGAAGTAAGATGGAAAGCAATCAAGAAACATACCCAGAGTTGACTTCTGCCATCAAACTCGCTCTGTAGACAGGCTGGCCTCAAATTCACAGAGATCCGCCTGCCCTGCCTCCCAAGTGCTGAAACTGAAGGAGTGTGCCACTACACTCAACCACAGTATTCTTTTGTGTGTGTGTGTTTTACTTACGTGTCTCTGCATGCATGCCCAAGTGCTTGAGTACAGGTCAGGAGACAGCTTGGGGGAGTCAGTTCTCTCCTTCCACCATGTGGGTCCTAAGAATCAAACTCGGCAATCAGGCTTGGTGCCAAGTGCCTCTGCCCACTGAACCATCTTGTGGCCTGGCAGTATTTCTTTTGTTTTTTGTTTTGTTTTTGAGACAGGGCTTTTCTGTATAGCCCCAGCTGTCCTGGAATTCTCACTTTGTAGGCTGGCCTTGAACTCAGAGACCCACTTGCCTCCTCAGTGCTGGGATTAAAGGCATGCACTACTCCTACCTCTCCCACCTCCACCCTGGCTCTTTTGTCTTATCTATCTATCTATCTATCTATCTATCTATCTATCTATCTATCTATCTATCTATCTATTTGTATTTTGGGGATTTTCAAGACAAGGTTTCTCTGTATAATGAATGGCTCTGGATGTCCTGGAACTCACACTGTAGACCAGGCTGGCCTCAAACTCACAGAGATTCACCTGCCTCTGCCTCCCAAGTGCTGGGATTAAAGGCGCACAGCACCACTAACCAGCTTTGTCTTTTTTTGTTTGTTTGTTTGTTTGTTTTTCGAGACAGGGTTTCTCTGTGTAGCTTTATGCCTTTCCTGGATCTCGCTCTCTAGACCAGGCTAGCCTCGAACTCACAGAGATCCGCCTGCCTCTGCCTCCCGAGTGCTGGGATTAAAGGCGTGCACCACCACTGCCCGGCTTGTCTTTTTTTTAAAAAAAAATGTTTTTATTTATTCTTTGAGAATTTCATACAATATAATATATTCTTTGTCCTCAACTCCTCCCCCACCTCGCTACCCACCCGACTTCATGTTCTTTCTCTCTTAAAACAAACAGAAACCACATGGAGTCCAGTTTGTTTTGTCTGATTACTGAGAATGGGGCCTGCCCAGAAGTGTGTAACCAGTGTCACTCCACTGAAGAGAAGGGATCTCCCTCTCCAGGCAGCTATCATTTGAGAACAGCTCCTTGGTTAGGAGAGGTGGTGCCCGCTTCCCCACCTCCATGCTGGGTTCTCTGGTGTGAGCAGGTCTTGTGTGTACTGACACCGTCTCTGAGTCTGTCTGTGCGTCTGCCGTGAACAGCTCCCCAAAAGTCACTCACCACCTGTGGTTCTTATTCTGCCCCCTCTTCTGCTCTGAAGGGACAGGTGCGACAGCGAGGTCCCATTGAGGGCTGAGCCAACACTCTCTCTTAAGAATGGAGGAGAGGCCCAGAGTACAGCTAGTGGTAGGGCACTGGGACTGGTGTGGCATGCACAGAGCCTTGGGTTCAGGCCCCAATACCACAAAAAAGGCAAAGAGGAAAGCTACCCACTATGCAGATCAGTATAGAAGTTCTTCAAAAAATACTAAAGTACTCAGAAGTGAGTTCCAGGACTTACATAGATCCTGTCCCCCCCCCCCCCAAAAAAAAAATATATATATATATATATATATATATATATATATATATATATAGAGAGAGAGAGAGAGAGAGAGAGAGAGAGAGAGAGAGAGAGATGTGTGCCACAATGGTGATGAACCTTTAATCCTAGCACTTGGGGGGCAGAGGCAGGTGGATTTCTGAGTTTGAGGCCAGCCTGGTCTATGAAGTAAGTTTGGCCAGCCTAGTTAGAGCCCCCCCCCCCCCCCACACACACACACGAATACTTGTTTACTTAGTAAAGATGAAATATTGTTTATTGGAAAGATCGTGAAAGCCAACTTTAGTTTTGCCACTTACCATACGACTATTTTGTATGTGGGGGAGGCGCGGCTGTGGAAGCAAGACAAGGGTGTCAGATTCTCTCTAGAGCTGAGGTGACATGTGGCTTCAGACACCTGACGTGAAGTCAGTGCTAGGCCTGAACTCTGGTCCTCCCTAAGAACAAGTGTTCTCAACCACTGAACTGCCTCTCCAGACCCCACCGGATGGCTGGTTGGTGGTTTTGTGTATCTGGATGTTGTGCCTGTCTGTATGTCCGTGCATAGTGTGTATGCTATTGCCTGCAGAGGCCAGAAGGCATCGAATCCCCTGTAACTGGAGTTACAGGGACTCGTGAGCTGCCATGCAGGTGCTGGGAATTGAACCCAGGTCCTTTGAAAGAGTAGCGTGGTCTTAACTGCTGAGCCAACTCTCCAGCTCCACAATATGATTTTGAACATTTATTTCTAGTTTTTCAAACTTTATATTGCAAGCCACTAGTAAACTATGAAATCTATTTAGAAGAATGCAAAACATTGTTTCTAAAAGGGAAATAAAATAAGCCCCAAAGTATGAGAGTGCTGCACACAGTTAGGTATTAGTTCATGAAACTCTTATTTCATATTAAATATGCTCATGTATTTTTCAGTGATTCCAGTATAAAATGCATTGGCTTTTTTAAAAAAAGTTTTTAAATGTGTATGTGTGTTTTGCCTGCATGTATTTATGTGTATCGTGTGTGCAGGTGCCAGAAGAGGGCATCAGATCCCCTGGCACTAGAGTTACACATGGTTGTGTACCACTATGTGGATAGTGGGAATTGAATCTGGGTCCTTTGCATTGAGTGCTCTTAACCTCTGAGCCATCTCTGCAGCTCCAGAATCCACATTTAAAAAGCCAGGGGTAAGGCTGGAGAGGTGGCTCAGGGATTACAGGTCTGCACCCCATACCAGATCTTCTTTAAGGTTCTGAAAAGCAGACTTTTAGGAGCTTTGTCATTTAGAAGTCTCTAGGGGCTGGAGATAGCTCAGTGGTTAAGAGCAGTCCTCAATTCCCAGCAACCACATGGTGGCTCACAACCATCCATAATGAGATCTGGTGCCCTCTTCTGGCATGCAGGCAGACATGCAGGCAGAACACTGCATATAATAAATAAATAAATCTTTAGAGGAATTCAAAGGCTAGGTGCAGTGGTGTTGCTTATAACCCCAGGGAGGCAAAGCCAAGAGGATCCCTGGGGCTCACTCAGCCAGCTCAGTGAGAACTTGTTGCAAAAAAAATAAATAACAAAACCCAAAGTGAATGGCACCTGAGGGAATACCACCAAAAGTTTATCCTCTGGCCTCCACAAGCTTATGTGTGTGCATACATATACTTGCACACCAGCAAACACATGCACGTACACACACAAAGAGGGTCACTGGTGAGGAATTTAGAGAATAATGAAAATATTATACTTCAATTTTGAATACACTTCTCATGGTTTTGCTATTTGAAAATGAGACTTGAATATAATGTACTATGCTTTTCATGGTTTTATGATTGACACTTAAGAGACTGAGGGGAAGCTAAGTAACCTGCTTGTGATTCCAGAATTCAGGAGGTGGGAGTAGGAGGGTCTTAGGTTTGAGGCCAGGCTAGGTTACACAGTGAGATCTTCTTTATGTAACTCTGCCTATCCTGGAACTCACTATGTAGACTAGGCTGGCCTTGAACTCACAAAGATCTGCCTGGCTCTGCTGGGAGGCCACCATACCCAGCTGAAACCCTGGGGTTTTTTTTCCCCAAACAAAACAAAATAGGACTAAGACTTTAAAAATAAAGGAAAACAGGAATATAGAAAAATTAATTTAGTCGAACCTATAGACTTAAAATATTTAAAATTTATTCACTTTTGAAAAATATACTTTCTCAAATAAGACATCAGTAAAGTTTCACATTGTTTCACAATTTCATAAATCTCCTTTATGCGCTACTAAATTCTCATATCTGCTTCTGAATTCAAGCTGATGCCGTACCAACAAATAAAGTTTTTCCTATGGTGAAAACTATGGGTTCTTAGAATGCAAAGGTGAATCTTTCCCTCCTGCAGGACAGCAGTTCTCAAACTGTGGGTCGTGACCCCTTAAGCAAACCTCTGTCTCTAAAAATATCTATATTATGTTTCATAATAGTAGCAAAATTATAGTAATGAAGTAGCAACAAAAATAACTTTCTGGTTGGGGGTCAGCACAACATGAGGAACTGTATTAAAGGGTCGCAGCAGCCATAGGAAGACTGAGAAGCACTGCTCTAGGAGCTCAGAGTTGAAGACTAAGGATTGGTTAAAAATTAGGTCTGTAATCCTAGCTACTTGGGAGGCTGAAACAGGGTTGCAGGTTCACTGCCTGCCTGGGCAACTTATTGAGAACCTAGCTCAAAAAGGGAACAGAGCTGGGGATAGAGCCCAGTGGTAGAGCACTCGTTTAGTGTGCAAGAGGCTCTAGATTCAACCCCAACACTGCAGAAATAAAAGTGTTAAAATACAGGTCGAAACAAGGCTGGGATGTATGTAGCAGAGAGTAAACAAAACAACCAACAACCCAAACTCTCCAGATAAAAGCAGAAAGACAAAGCTGTAAATGTGCACCTACTGCAGAGGACACACAGAGGTCAGAGGGCAACTTGCAGGAGTCAGTTCTCTCCTTCCACCATCAAGGACGGGACTCGCTCTCAGACAACCAGGATTGGTAGCAAGCACTTTACCCAATAAGCCATCTCACCAGCTCCAAAGAGTTGCTGTCTTGATAATAAAATCCTCAGTTTGAAGAGATACTCTAGTCTTGAAGTCTTGTTTTTCTGTCAATGGAAAAATCCCAAGAGGTTGAGGAAGGAGGATCACTATATACATAGCCAGGGTTATCTAAGCGTCTCAAAACAAATGATAAAGGGAGGTACAAGCTGGTTCTGGTGGCAGATGGCTCTAATTTCAGTACTAAGAAGGCAAAAGAAGGAAATTGGGGCGTTTTAGGCTAGTCTTAGCTACATGAAACCCTGTCTCAAAAAGCAAACCAGTAAAAAGGGGTGGATGGGAGAATATGAGCAAAGTAAAACTGTATATGAATATATACATATATTTGTGTCTGTTCATAAAATGTCATAAATGGGCAAGGCAGTGGTGGTGCACACCTTTAGTCCCAGCACTTGGGAGGCAGAGGCAGGTCGATCTCTGTGACATTGAGACTATCCTGGTCTACACAGTGAGTAGTTCCAGGACAGCCAGGGCTACATAGTGAGACCTGTCTTAAAAAAACAAAATTTCCTGCCAAAAGTACTGGCTCAGGCTGAGTTGATACAAGTTTAGAGTCAATCTGGGCTACAGAGTTAAAGACTAACCCGGGCTATAGTGATCCCGTTTCAGAAAACAAACACAAATGAACAAAAACCCTAACATAAAAAGGGCTCTCAGCAGGGCGGTGGTGGTGCACATGTTTAATCCCAGCACTCGGGAGGCAGAGGCAGGTGGATCTCTGTGAGTTCGAGGCCAGCCTGGTCTACAGCGTGAGATCCAGAACAGCCAGAGTTACACAGAGAAACCCTGCCTCCAAAAAAAAAAAAAAAGGAATTTGACACCTCATTTTGTATTGTTTATTTTAATAAATCCAGCCTGTCATACCTGTTTTTACAATATTTAAAAACTAGTTTTAACCCAGTGTGGTGGCACATACCTTTAATCCAGGCACTCAGGAGGCACAGGCAGGCAGATCTCTGAGTTTGAGTTCAGCCTGGTCTACATAGTAAGTTCTGGGACAGCCAGGGCTATGTAGAGAGACCCTGTCTCCAAAAATCAAATTAAATAAAGACTAGTTTTGTGGCCCCATGGAATCCTAGGTCTTTAAGGAATGTGTAACATTTAAACTCTAGGCTACCACAGGCTCACCACTTCTCGATACAGCTGATGACTGGAAGCTAGCTGGGAACAGGGGGTGTGACAGGTGGGATGGTGATGGCCCACACAGTGACAGGTTGAACCGTCTTTGGCACCCTGTTGCTCTTCTTTGCTTATCTTCCATTCCTATGCTCCCCCTTTAGCCTAGTTTATCTGTCTGTCCTGTCCTCGTGATCTGAAAAAATTCCCATTTCTATTGTTCAGCATGTAATTTTTTTACTCTTAGAATGCTCTTTCTTTTTTATCCCACTGGAGACTATCTAATATCTCTCCTAAGTTCTGCCTTGCAGTATTCATAAGAAACCTTCCATTCATTCGCCATATACCATGCAGCCAGGCCTTCTGTGTCAGTTTAACAAGGTTCTTCTGCCTTGTGTCTATAGCAAGGAAGAACTCCATTTGTCCTACTTTCTCCATTTGTACTACCCGAGGCAGGTTTTAAGCAGACATTTCAAGCTACAGCTCTAATTTTATCCGCATGAATGTTTTGCCTCCATGCATGCAGATATGTATCTGGTGCCCACAGGTCAGAAGAGGGCATTGGACCCCTTGGAAGTGGAGTTATGGATGTGGTGAGCCACCCTGTGGGTACTGAGAATTGAACCTGGGTCCGCTGCAAGAGTAACAAGGGCTCTAAACCACCAAGCTATCTTTTCAGCCCCCTCAAGCTACAATTATTTATCTGCCACCCATTAAATACGGACGCAGGGACATTCATCCCTTGTATTAATGTTCCAATAACAGACATGTAGTATTATAGTATTTTCTTGATATTCCCCCCCCCAACCCTTGGAAAATGGTATTATTACCTCAGATATTACTATTACTATATTGTTATGGTAATATTGTCATTGTTATACAGAGGTTCAGTCTAGTATGGGGGCATGTGAATATATTACTAGTTACTTTACAGGCCAGTGACTTGAGCCGAGGAATATAAAGCATCCTGGGAAAAACAGACTGTCTCTAAAGGGGAAAGGTGTGTGTGTATGTGGGGGGGGGGGGGGGAATTAGAGGGAAAATGGAAAGAAAGAAGGATGGCAAACACTAAGTACCGTGAAGATGGCATCCAAGATCTGAGTTCAACCAGCTTCCAGTAGAATATTAAGATCCTACCCCTACAGGGGGCCCTAGGTCCCGAGAGAGGTTCCAGGAAAGCGTTGGGGTAGTCGTTCTGAGGAAGGGGAGGGCTTTCAATCATAGCGGCCAACCAACCAATAACACAAAACCAGCACAGAGGCCTGTCTGCGAGGCCCGCTTGTGTCTGCTCAGTCTCACACGGTTCTGTCTGGTTTGGAAAAAGATGGCCTCTAAGCTTTCGTCATTTCACTCACCTCTCCTAACCTGGCTTGTCCAGCCTGTTTGAGGTCAAGGCGACTGGACACTGGAGGCCAAAGGCTGCCCAAGCTGGGGATGACCTCGGAAGCAGAACCCTGGCCCAGAGCGGTGCTGCTAACGGTCAAAGAGTGAGGCGGTTGGCCCGCGCCATTCCAGAAGCTACAGGGGCATACTCTTGGCATTGTCCTTAAGGATGAGGAGGAAAAGGAAAGTGCGGGTGATTGTCCTCCTCTCTGATCCCTTCTTTTTCTCATTTGTTTTCTGGCCTTCCAGCATGGGTCCCACCGGCTGGTTTGCGAAGGGAATCCTGTAGGATAGGAGGAGGAAAAGCCACTGATGGCAATTCCAGTCACTCGGTGGCTTATACAAGCGAATCATTTACATATAATTTGCATGTCGGTATACTTGTGGAAGTACATACAATATCACTACATCCACATCTCGCCGCCTATCCAGCCCACGGCACTTCCCTCTCGGCTTCCTTAGTAAAGCCTGCCTCTTAGGTCCGCCCTCAAACACTGGGCCCGCCTTCCACTGATAAGCCCCGCCCTGCTCCCCCGCCCCTTCCCAAGCTTCCAAATCGCTCTTCCCCGCCCCCTTTTTATTTCTGAACAGGCGTGACTCGGGCAGCTCACCCAACTCAGATTACTATGGCATCGGTAGCGTCCTGACAGTCCGGGAAGCAGGAAGGCAAGTCCCGGCAAGAAGGGCTCGGGCCCAGGAGACTCTAACCTGCAGAGGAATTGTTGTTTTGGGTCCTGCCTGTGAGGTCCGGTCCAACTTGAGGCAGCGTGAAGGCCCCTTCAGGCGGCGCCGCGGGCAGCCCCGCAGCCGGGGCCTGGTGCAGCCGCCGCGGCCGCTGTCAGGGAAGCGCAGGCGGCCAATGGAACCCGGGAGCGGCCGCTGCTGCTGAGGCGGCGGTGTCGGCAGTCCGACCCCGACCGCCTGCACCCCCTTCGCGAGGGTCCCCCGGAGGTAAGCGGCTCCTCCCCCGTGAGTCGCCTTTGCCCGGGGGGGGGGGGGGGTCCTTCTGCCACCCTGTCCCGCACAGCCTACCGCGACCTGGGTTCGACTACAAAACTGCCCTCCTGGTGGGAGCTGCACCCTGAGGTCCCTCACCCTGTCCCCTCGGGCCCGGGGTCGTCGTCTCTGCTTTTTGGCTTCCTCCTCTGTTTAGCCCCTCCCTCTGCCCCGTGGATTCCACCTCCCCCCACCACACACACTTCTTACCCCTGTTGCCTCTGTCCCTTAACTCTTTCTCTAAGCTGTGAACCCTTTCCACATTAGACTCCCTCTACAATGTCCATCCTTGTTTGCCCTTCCTCGCCGTTTGTGTTTCTGCTCCCAAACCTTTTCCAGGGACTCCGCCTTTATCCCTTTTCCTATTTTTGCCCCACTCCGTAGTCTGTGCAACCTCAGCACAGAGTTCCCATTTCCCTCAGCTAAAGATCGTATCCCTCTCTTCTGCTTCCGATTCCATTACCTCACCGTAACCCACTCCCCCCAGCTCCTAGCTTCCAAGAATTGCCTATTTCCTTCTTAAAGGATCTCAGACCGTTGTCATCATGACCAAGATCCCATCTACTTTGACCTCAGTGCTCAACCCTTCTCTGGGGTGCCTGATGATACCTGGAGTTGGTTGTCTTTGGCTTCGAGTTCACCCTTCTCATCTCCAGTCCTCCGGAGGATGGTTCCTGTAGGAGGAGGATCTGCCGTGAACACCCTTTCGGATTAGGGATTTCCAACTTGTGACACACACACAAAAACAACCCTCTTTCCAGGACTTTGCCAATCTTTGTCTCCCTTGGTTCTGTTTTCCCTGTGGTCTTTAAGTGTTCTCTGTCACACTCTTTATCTCCACACATCACTTATTTCAGATCAGCCAAACCTTGAACTAAGAAGAAAACGTGTTGTGAGGAGGGGTGCCTCAACTGTCTCGGGCTCTTCTGGACAGATGTGTGTTTCTGAAGGATGGAGCAACTTTTAAAGAAGTCCCTATCAATCACATTACATTTCGTTGACTATTTAGGAGCAACCACTAGGAGAGGTGGGCAGGCTTGCATGGGCACTGAATGAGGCTGTGAGAAATTTTGCTTCAGGTTATTTATTTTAGGTCTTTGTTAGGTCACAGGATAGTATCTCCTACTCCTGTCTAGCCCAAATCATTACTTTACTGACTTCGGAGCCTAGTGGAATAGTGCTGGTTACTTTCATAAGCACTTGGACCTAAGGGGTGAAGTTGTGTATGTCTGGGGTGGGGGGTGACTGGGAAAAGGAACATGAGATGATATAAAGAGCTGGCATATTCAGAATCAGGACCCTTGGTTCTGCATGTGACTTCCTTACTTGAACTTGAAAATGCTCTTTTGAGAAAAATGAGCCATTCTGTAAGCACCAGGGCAGTAACAGGCTAGTAGCAGGATGTCTGTTGGGAGAAGAATTATACTTTTTCTTTTCTTTTTTTTTTTTTTTTTTTTTGGTTTTTCAAGACAGGGTTTCTCTGTGTAGCTTTGCGCCTTTCCTGGAACTCGCTTTGGAGACCAGGCTGGCCTTGAACTCACAGAGATCCGCCTGGCTCTGCCTCCCGAGTGCTGGGATTAAAGGCGTGCGCCACCACCGCCTGGCATACTTTTTCTTTTAATCTATTAAACACTGCGGGTTCTCAGGCAAAAGGTATTTATTGCTAGTGATTTTGTCATCTTGAGACTTGCCCTTTATTGTGATATTTTGATCTCTCTGGTCTCTAACTGTGTGTATGAAGTCAGTTTGAAACACAAGCTCCTGGCCTGCTACTTTTCAGCTCTGCCTTTTTCTCTTCCACCATGTTAAATCGTTGACCACTTGTGCCTCTCTTTCTGTGCCTGATCCATAACTCCAGATTCTGTAGTTAGAAAATGTGTTTGTAGAAGAGCCCTTGGGAAAGGGGACTTAGCGGCTGACTAGCTTGTCTCCCACATCTCTTCTGGCCTGAGATAATAAGGAAAGCACAGGCACTCCGTTCCTCTCCCAACTCTAGGCCTGCTCAGGTCTGAAATAGTTCTATAAGCCAGGTGGTGGTGGTGTGCCTTTGATCCCAGCACTAGGGAAGCAGAATTCAGAGCTCTAAGTTCGAAGCCAGCCTAGTCTATAAATGGAGTTTTAGGACAGTCAGAGCTGTTACACAGAGAAACCCTGTCTCAAACTGCACCCCCCCCCCAAAAAAAAAAGAAAGAAAAGAAAATAGTTAAACCATCTTGGCCCACTTCTTACCCGAAGTTACTCAGAGTACAATCTAGTAATCTATCTATGGGAGACCTTCCCTCCTTAAATGTGCCCTTAACAAAAAAACATACCTCTAGTTGTCCTTGCTTCTCATCTGGGTCCACACTGCATAAGAACATGTTTGTTGAACACTAATGTAACAAACTGAGCTGCTTTGGTTCGGGAAAGAGGTTTGGGAGGATCATTTCTGTAATTGGCATGGGACAGAAGAGGGCCTGGTCTAAGCACACTGAGGACTTAAACAAGGAGGACTAGTTCAGAGAAAGGTGAGCAGTACAGCTTGCTTTCTTTACCATCTGTCAGTCTCATCAAGGGCTCCTGAGCAGGCTTAGGCTGTCTGCCTGGAATCTGCTTATACCTGCTACATGGCCTTACACAGAGTTCTCAGCTTGATCAATATTGACCTAACTACTGTGAGACCACTGCCCTTCCCCCACGGCTGGAGTTGAGAATGCCCTCTTCCCTGATGCCACCATCTTTTGAGACCTTGGGCAAGCATACTTGCTTCCTGCTGGGCTTGAGCTTGCTAGACTGCTCAGTCCAGAGTCTCTACAGGGAAAATGTAGAAATTATTCTTCCTTTACCATTAAAGTCAAAGGTGAAAGCTGAGTTGAGTTCTTAAAGATTTGTAATAGACCTTAAGACATGGAAAGGAACTTCTTTTTTTTTTTTTTTTTTTTTTTTTTTTATTTTTGGTTTTTCGAGACAGGGTTTCTCTGTGTAGCTTTGCGCTTTTCCTGGATCTCGCGCTGTAGACCAGGCTGGCCTCGAACTCACAGAGATCCGCCTGGCTCTGCCTCCCGAGTGCTGGGATTAAAGGCGTGCGCCACCACCGCCCGGCTAAGGAACTTCTTTTTTAAGAAAAAATTTTTATGTGTATGGATGTTTTGCCTGCCTGTATGTCCATGGGCCATACATGTGCCAGTTGCCTGCAAAGGCCAGAAGAGGATGTTTGTTCCCTTGGAACTGGAATTAAAGATGGTTGTGAGCTGCTGGGAATTGAACCTAGGTCCTCTGGAAGAGCAGATAGTGCTCATAACTGTTGAGCCCTCTGTCCAGCCCCAGCAAGGAACTTGACAGCAGAGCAAGTAGCCTAGGATAATACAGAGTCCCTTTTGAAGAGCAGCCTATTTTTAAAAATTGCTGCTAACGATGTACATGTACTTGGTAATATTCAATAGCATTGTAGGGATTTATGATCAAAACTAACAGTCCCTTTCCCTACATCTGTACTCACACTCCCTCAAATTGGAGCTAGCCTCTTTAATTATCTCAGTATAAACTTCTATCCAGAGCTCATTACTGTAGCTTCACTTAAATGCTTGTTTCCTGACCCTTTGTTGCAAAAGAGAGTTTGATTGTAGAGGATTTATACTTGTTTAGGTAATTATTACATTTTTGTTTCCATCTGAGCCTTTTCCATTGCTGGGATTGAAACCCAGAGCCTTGCTCATGTTAGATAAATCCTTTATCACTGCACTGGACCCTTGGTTCACTACACCCTTGGCCCTCTTTTCCATGAACTTTAACTGCACCTCATATACTGGTTCCTTTATCTTTTTTTTCCACTTCTTGTGACCTATCTCAAAGGATCCTTAAAAGGAAGGAAAATTGAGCTGGCCTGCCTGCTTGGAAGAAGAGCCCTAGATCAGATGATTTCTAAAAAGTAATTCTGTGTGCCAGGCAGTGGTGGCACACGCCTTTAATCCCAGTACTCAGGAGGCAGAGGCAGGTGGATCTCTGTGAGTTTGAAGCCAGCCCTAAAGTGGTCTACAGAGTGAGTTCCAGGACAGCCAGAGCTGTTACACAAAGAAACTCTGTCTCAAAAACAAACAAAAGACATTCTGTGAAAATGCAGGAGCATGGTAAAGCATCAGGATTGGTGTGAAGCAGTCCATATTTATCATGCATGGTAAAAGATTTGAAGTGGTAATAATGGTGATTGGGTAAGGGCATTGATTTGGGGCTTGGTACCATCTTTCCTGAAAAGCCAGTCCAGTAAGTCTTTTCATGAAGACTTTTTTCATTAAATTCTGTGCAAGCAACTTCATGAAAAGTTTTTTTTTTTTTTTTTTTTTCATGAAAAGACCTTTTTCATTAAATTCAGAATTTCTGAGGTGCTCAGTTGAAGATAGCCTGGTTAAGAGATAATACTCCCTCCAGAGTCCTCTGTAGACATAACTGCTCAGGCCAATAAAACATATGTGGCCACCTTCTCTGCTTCTTCAGAAGCTGCTCTGTACTACCATAACCTGGACTGACCCTGATAGCCTTTCTCTACTATATTAGTTATTTTTCTTGTTGCTATCACAAAATACCTGACAAAAGCGACTTAAAGGAGAATTTGTTTTGTCTCACAGTTTGAGGTTACAGTCTGTCCGAGTGGAGTGTGGTGGTGTGGTGTAAGGAGTGAGGCAGCTGGTCACTTTGCATCTGCAGTAAGGACAGAGAGACCATGAATGGACGTACTCGCCTTACTGCCTCCTTTTGATTCAGTCTGGGGCCCCAGGCCATGGAAGGGTGCCTCCAACCTAGTCTAGAAAAATCGATCACAGACATGCATACAGAGGTTTGTTT